CCCCAAAACCCCAAAACCCCAAAACCCCGGGCTATAATAAAGCTATTGAACCTCCATTATTCATCTCTTTTTCAATTAAAGTCCTTCAATTATAATATTAATCATTCCATTCTCCTGTAATATTGACTGAACTTGGTCTCTTGACATTTCACAATCCTTCAAATTGATATTAACTTGTCTATTCTTAACACTCTCCACTTTTGCCAACCCCTTCACAATACTTTGGAACGTTTCAAACCCATTTTGAGTCCAATTGCTATAAACTCTATCCCCAGTACCCTCAGAATCAATCTTGATAAAAGCAGTTTGGTCAAGTCTGTGCTCAAAATCTACTTCTTCTCCTACAGATATCTTGCACCCACAAAACCTGACATGGTCTATGTTCTGCGCAGCCACGAGGAGGTCTTGGAACTGGGAGCTCGTGATCGCCCAGAGGAGAAGGTCAACTCTGGTGGGGATGAGAGGGAGGGTCTTGGTTAGAGTGTCCATGTAAGGAGTTAGGGAAAGGCAGGAAACAGTGGTAGTGTTGAAGTAGAAGTATTGATTGTGAGGGTGGCTGAGAGTGGACTAAATAGTTATAATAAGAGCAATAATAGTAAATAAGCATGACCTATTGATCAAATTTTTCTTTAGGATTCTTGCCTGAACTCACAATGACTCTGAAAGTACCGCTCATTAATTGAATAATATGGATACAGTTCCTGTTTATTCTGATTCATATCCTGATTGCTCATACTGTGAGAAGAAGACCATAGACAGTTTTTAATTTAAGATTATAAGTAAAAATTATTTAGATGCTTAATTTGACAGCTTTCTTTCTTGCCTCTAAAGAGCTCCTGTCTCTGGGTTCTACTTCAAAGAATAGTAAATGTTAATCCTTCTATGGTATAAGTCCACTAGTCATAGCCATGAACTTTGGATATGGCCATATGCAGATATCCTTCCTTTAGAGCTCATAAAAAATTTAGGATAAAAATCTTTTAAAAATTTGAGAACTCAAAATGCTACAAAACTTCACATAAAAAAGCTTTGAAGCTTGAACTTCAATCTGAAACAAAAAGTAAGAGCTATTCAGCATCAATAAGTCATCCTTGGAAACTTTACCCAAGATTCCATCAAGCTAGACTGCGTGAATCTTTCTCGTGACTAATAAAATATTAATATTGATTTCTAAATTCTTGAAGGAGTGCTTGCCAAGGCAATGACTGAGCCTTGGAAACGCCTTGAGAATTTGAAATAGCTCAGATCTAAGCATCAACTTAATATATAGCTCAGTCTTGCTCGAGATCCTTTTTAAAAAGATTAATAACTTGTTTTCAATTGCTAAACTGTGAGTTGGGGTTTTGGGGTTTTGGGGTTTTGGGGTTTTGGGGTTTTGGGG